TGCTGTGCAGGAACTTGCGGCTGCAAGGACAGTGGACAACGCCGTAGAGGGACCAACAGCACAGAGTGGGGAGTTATGGCCCAGAGGCCACAGCACGCCCTGGAGAAGAGAAGCAGGACGTCCACGCCTACTGAGAGTCGCCCTCCTGGAGCTGGGGACACTGCATGGACGTGTCTTGGGAAAAGGCACTGGCAGCTTTGCTCCGGACTCTTTTTGAGGACGTCTGTAGAGCAACAGCCTTGGCAGACAGAGAGTGCGGCCCTCAGGCTGATCTCAATAACCAAGAATGCATCTTTCTCTGGAGCGAAGTTTGGGCAGGACACCAGCAGCCTCCTTGTGACGCTGGGGTCTCCCAAGTTCAGGCTCCTCAGCCAGGACAAAAACGCACCATGGGCCTCTCCACACAGGTCCTGAGGTGCTTGGGGAAAAGGGAACCCACAGGAGTGGGAACGTGGCGCCCACACTGCCCGCGCTGCCAGGAGCAGGTTCCCTCTGATGATGCTGTCTGACAGGGCCCATGCCTTCTGAGGGCATCCGGGAAACCGTGGCAGGGTAACTTGTTAGCCTGAAGGGGGCAGTATCCATACCCGCCACAGCTCCTTGACAAGTGGATCAAAGTTAGTCCAGTATTCTTTGTTTGAGAAACGTCAGAGAAAAGTAAGTTCTTTAGTCTAGCACCTCCCGGGGCCCCGGTCTTGAGCTAATGTTCACTGTCATACCCACCTCAGCCATGGCCCAGGACCGTGGGTCCTTCAGGACCTGGCCCAGACTGTGGAGCTGTCAAGAAACATGGGTACCTCCTTGTCCTTCCGAAATATAGGTCACATTCCTCCACCAACACCACCACCGCGCCCCCTCCCCGCCCCGATCCGGGCAAAAATGATGTGAAGTCACAGGAAAGTTCCCATGTGACCCACGCACAGGCAGGAACACCGGGCAGAGCTGGAGAGCTGAGTCACTGCTTACCACCGCGGTCAGCACCCCCCCCCCCCGCCCTTGCGGGGACAGGGCTACCTTGAGCTATATTCTCAGGCATCCGTGGCCTGACTGCCTCATTGGCAGGATTAAGTTAGTCTTAGCGATGAATCAGTATTAACTCACAAAGCTCTAAATACCTCCTAAGCTTTTCTTTTTTACAAAGTGAATCCCTTAAAGGGGTTTAGAATTAAAATTGGTTTTGTCTAGATTTATGTGTTGGTTTGTTTGAATTTGGATTCAACATGTAATAAAAAGAATTCCTTGTTAGACTTATACAAATTATCTCAGGAGAACTGAAAACTCGTTTTCTTGCGTCTTTGGTGCTCTTTCACACCCATTGCTTGTAGCTCCTACAGACCCTCAATATCTCATCTCACTTTCAATTTCGTGAAGCAGGTGCACATTGTTGGCCCTGGAATCGCCCGCACCCCATCCAGCTGCAAGGTCTTCACTAAGCTCCCAGCTCGCTTCATCTATAGTATCTTCGTTCTGGTAACTCAGTACTATTTATATCCTTGGTATTCGAGCCATGCAGATTTCAAAGAGCAAAAAGAAAAACGGGAATTTAGAACACGAGTTGCCTTTCTACAGAAAGCCGAGGGCACCAGGCCGGCTACCGTGGCGCCACCTCTTTCCCGAGGGCGGCTGCCATCCGCAAGCTCTTGCCACGGGTCAAAGGTGAAAGGGCTCAGGGGCAGGTATTTTTGCTGTCGAGGTATTATTAAAATAAGAGCCTTCAATATAAGAAAATGTCCAAGGACTGATACTTGTCATTGCAAAGAGTGAATGACACCTTTCCCTATGGCTCCAAACAGGGGAGATGTTTTATGGCCTTTACCTAAGACGTTCTTTCTGCTCAAGCTGATGCCAAGATCTTCACAGGCTGTGCCGTCCACTGTCCAGCACGTCTGTGTGGGTCACACACAGCTCACCCTGAGGAACGCTGAACCAGGCAGCAGGGCCTGCGAGGGAGCCCTGTTGAGTGTTTTAAACGTCCCGGCCCATCTTGCACCACGAGGGGCTCCCCAACTGGGGCCCGCCTGGCCCAGCTGCCACGCAGAGAGCTACCTGGCAGCTCAGGCAGCGACCACACAGGAGGTCTGCCTGCTCCTGAGGAACTTTTTAAATAGTACTCGTTGCAAACTTTAAGAACTGGAACATTTTACCTAGAGTTTGCATTTCTGACGTCCTGTGAAAATAGGAAGCTGGGCAATTCGGCGCTTGCATTTCTCCAGAGCAAGAAGTAGGTGGTGAGGGACATTCCCCACATCCCCGAGGCCAAACGTCACCCTGCCCGGCCACACGCCATGGCTCACACTTGGGCACCGCTGGCCAGGGAACAGGGACAGACCCGAGCCCTTGGAAGGAGCAGAACTAAACGGACACTGTTTTGAGCTAATTAAGGCCGCACTCCATCTACCGGAGCCAACCAGAGATGAAGAGTCCTTTTATTAAAGAAACCTGATCAAGGACCACACACCCTACTGCACAATGGACAGAACTAGCCTCCTTGGACTCGCCCTGTTCCCCCAGGTGCCACGTCTGTCAAGGTGAGTTGTGGACACAAACGTGCAGGTGCTGCACCCGATGCCCGGTCAACCCTGACCCAGCGCGAGGGCGTCTCCTCCAAGGGAAAGTCACGGCCAAACTCCATTCCTTAAAAGTTAAGTGTTCCCTGCCGCCTGCTGTGCCAGTTTTGTCTTGTTAACAAAATGTTCTTGGTGAGCATGGGAAGTGAAGAGTGACAAGAAAGAAACACTAAGATGGTACTTCGGGAGATTTCCCCCAAAACAGCAGTTATGAGAGGGGCGAGGGGAGGGGAGCAGTCCCCAGGTGAACGTGAGGGACAGGTGGGCTGTGGGCAGAGGATTTATCAACAGTCATCAACTGACTACAATTCAGTCTGCCTTCCATTATGTCAGTGGGAAAGTTCTCCTCCCTTCCTGCTCCGAGAGTGTCTGCATGTGTCCGGAGCCTGTGGCCGAGGGCCCGGCAGTGTGTCCGGTGACAGCTGTAGGAACTGGAGGTACTCAGCCCCGGGAAGAGGAAGCAGAGCTGTGAGCCTGCTCAGTGCCCGCAGATGCCCCACGTGAAGAAGGGGTTCTGTTCACGGCTGCCCCCAATTCATGCCAGTGCGCAGACGCCGCTTATGGGCAGCCTCAGAGCCCAACAACTAGACTGCCCAATAATGGCGTGAGGGGGCAGAGGCCCCCCCCCCGGGAGTCTCCCAACAGAGGCCAAGGGTCACCCACTGCGGATGTGGCAGACAGTGCCCCCCCCATTCAGGAGGCCTCGTGGACAGTGTGCTGTTCTGACTGGACCTGGTCCCTGCCACCGGCTAGGTGCTCCCAAGGGTTTCAGCCTGTCTCCTCTCGGCATTTAGCTCCCCTAAGTCTCTTAAATTTCTCTGAGGGAACAGACCTCAGTGGCCATGACAACTGTCTTGTCCTGAGACCCTGGTTGGCAAGACCTGGCCTCATGGATCCTAGTAGCTGGCTAGTGGTCACACGTGGCTTTGTACAGGGTAGATCCTCAGGCCATGTTTGAGCCACCTTGCTTGCCTTCCTCTGGACAGAGTTCGAGCAGACCTTTTGGAACACACGGCTCTCGGGATCTCGTGTGCACTGCAGAATCACAGGTCTTGAAGGCTGGAAGGAACCCTACGGCCAGAGTCTTCATTTTTCAGCCGAGGGAGTGGAGGCTCCAGGGGCACAGGAAGGGGCACACCAGAGCTGCTGGTCACCTATGAATACCTGAAATGTGTGGTCCGAATTGTGACGCACCGTGAGTGCAAAATGCACACTGAGTTTCCAAGACGTAATGTACAAAAAAGTAAAATTTGGGCTTCCCTGGTGGCGTAGTGGTTGAGAGTCCGCCTGCCGAGGCAGGGGACACGGGTTCGTGCCCCAGTCCGGGAGGATCCCACATGCCGCGGAGCAGCTGGGCCCGTAAGCCATGGCCGCTGGGCCTGCGCGTCCGGAGGCTGTGCTCCGCAACAGGAGAGGCCACAACAATGAGAGGCCCGCGTACCGCAAAAAAAAAAAAAAAAAAAGTAAAATTTCTCATCAATGTTTTATATTGATTACAAGTTAAAATGATCATGATTCAGATATATCTGGATAAATAAAATATATTTTAAAAATTAAAATCACGTTTCTTTTCACTTATTTTAACGTGGCTACTAGAAAGTTCAAGATCACCTGTGAGGCTTGCACCCTGCTTCTACTGGGCAGCACAGGTCTGAACACGCCCATGTCTGTGACTCCCATCTGAGGCCTCCGCAGGACACCAGACTTTGAACACATGGCTATACTCTGATTTTAATTTTTTTTTCTTGAGGAGAACAAAATGATGACACAGAACAGAGAAAAAGAAAACGGAAGGACAAGAGGTTTTTGCTATTGTTTATGATCTGGATGTTATCCCAGAGCCTTCAAAGTTTACAGATACGAGATGGTGCCCAGGTGAGGGCACGTTGTCCTGGCATTGCTTCTGGGACGTAGAGAAGTAAAGTCTGCAAGCCCACTGTACTCATAACCGGTCTGTCCTCCAGGACAGCAAAAGTCTCATTTTCCTGTTTGATTTCTGATAAATTCCCACCATTCTTAACTGGGTCAAAATCATCTGTGATGTAACTTAAGAATTTTAAATGCAAGAAATTGCACGAATACTCATTCCATGGAAAATGGAGTTGCTTTTGCAAAGTGTAACAACGCCCATTAAATTACTTTAGTAACTGCTGCTATTATCTCAGACCATGGAAACTATCACTGTTAAGGGTGAGGCTTTCTTTTAAAAGGTTTGTGTGAATGATCCCCCCGCCCCAAACACACCCCGCTGCCCATTACTCACAATGCTATGAGTTTTGCCAGCAGTTCATTAAAAAACAGTGGAAGCAGACTTTTTTTAAAACACACAGGTGACCTTAAACACCAGTTTTCCGAGTGAGGTGCAAGCTACTTGCATGTCAGCTCATGCACACCATCCGGGGCACAGTCTCACTCGCCAGGGATCTGCCTTACCTTTGAATGTTTCTGTTTGAGCCCTTAGAATCTCTGCACATCTTGTTTCTTCCTCCTGTATTTCCAGATGAAATCGGCATTCTGGGTGAATGCTGTTCACCTGCTCAAGGTTAAAAGAAATAGAAATAACTGAAAATTCCACTATAATGGGGAAGTCAAGTAAAATTTCTACATAAAAGCCCTCAAAACTTCACAGTTCTAAACTGCTTCCAAACTAACACTCATTTAAAAGCAATCACATTCATATTTTGGCATGGTTATTTGAAAAAAAGCTTCACTATTTACTTTGTAAAGGAATTAGTAAACAAATATAAAACCTGATAGAATTTTTTTTCTGGACAGGAAAACAAACTTACTAACGTAATACATTTTATGTTGTTAGTACTAATTTGGTGGCAATAGAGCTCTTTAATCCAATAATCTTTCAATATTCGAGTCCTCCACTTCATAGCCCTTGATTTAATCAAAGTAAATACATGTTTACTAAAGATGTTTAAAAAAAAAAAATACATGTTTACTCCTAAGCCCATTCTCAATGACTGCACACAACCCCAGACGCCAGCGTGCTTCATCTAAGGCCAGGCTCTGCATTCCCTGGAAAGCCCTAATAGGATAACTTTATTTTTAGAGGCTGCAGGTCACATTCAAAACTGAACTTTAGAATTTGGTGTGAAGGAGCTTTTCAAAAAGATAAGGGGTGAGTAGGGAGAGGCCTGGGTGAGAGTCACAGCACCGAGGTTTCCACTGAGCAAGACGTGGGGGACTTCCCGTCAGGCTCCATCACGGGAACTAAAGATGTGACACAAACGGTGAACAACATTGTCCATCAACGTGGGCAAAAGACAAAGCCACATACTGCTTCAGTCTTGGAAGATAATATTCTCTGGTCTCTATTTTCACAAAGGTCCAACTTTCTCTTTTTTTTTTTTTGCCACCTCCCACTGCCCACAAATACGCTGTAGGCTGGAGCTGTGCCCCGCCCCTCGCTCTCATGTAAGAACAAACTTCTTACTAAAGAAAACCATACTCTTGCATATATTATGGCCATCTATGTTTAATTATCCTACTATTGAAATAAGTCAACAGAATTGTAACCAGGAATAACATTTCCTAACAAAATTAAGAGAAGAAACTTAATGCTGAATACTTTTGCCACATTTACCCTCATTTTTAAAAAGACCTGAAGCTTTGGTCCCCCCCCACCCCCGGCTCATCACTGGGCAGCCACCACTGTACAAACTCCTGGTTTCAGGCTGTATTTTTCACACCTGAACAAGTCAACAGCTTAAATTTCAGAATTAGGGAAATTATTTTGCCTTAAAAAGAAAAATAGATTTCTGTTAAGGTATTAAAAGACACCATGATATCTGACATTCTTGGAATATGCACAGCAATGACTTATTTGGGGACATCCTAGACGTTAAAGCAGCATTAACCGTAATAATTCCTGGTACTTTTAACTAGCTCTTTCAAAGCACTAAAATCAGTAGGGAGGTTCTTATCCTCACAGCATCCCTCTGAGGGAGGAAAGACTTGGTTTGCCTTCACACTAGACAAGGGAGTTTGGCAACCCTGAGAGGTGGGCTAGGTTCATGCCCTCCTGGAACCCGAAAGATCCTCAGCAAAGACAACTTTCTCTAAATAGCTCCATCCTTGCCTCCACAACCTTAAGGGGGATATGAGTCAATACAGACAGTGATCTGGCCGCGATATAAAGTGCGAATGTGTACACACGCCAACACTGACTCCAGTCTGTCATAGAGGGAAGCAAGAAATAGGGTTCACAGTTTTTGTGGTTTTTTTTCAATGGTCTTCAAATAAAAGGAAGAATTGCTGAGAATTAAATAATCTACAAATACACTCATTTAACAAATTTCTATTCAGCATATCGTTTCTTCCGGTGCTCTTAAATAATGATTAAAAAAATCAACTTTCTGTAGCTACATCGCGTCTCCCTGACACACACTGAAGCAAGACAAAAAGCAGCAACAGTACTAGGAGACGGAAGGGGAAGTAGTTAAAGACAAAGCTAACTGCAATTTCCCTCGGAAACGTGAGGCCTGCGGAGGTGACCAAGCCCTACCCACCACCGGACTCGGGCGTCCCTGGACCCGCGAACCGTCCTCGCCGGCCACAACCTCCGGAAGGACGCGGCCGGACCCGCTCCGCTGGGAAGGGCGTCGAGCAAGAAACTGGATCTTATTCCCAGCGAACCCGGGACGGCGGAGGGGACACAGCAAACGCATCCTCCCAGCCCGTCTCCAACCCGGCCAGGCGGGGAGCTCGGTTCTTCGCGCTCGGCGGGGAGGGTCCAGAGCGTCCCCGGCGGCCCTGCTCCCTCCCACGAGCCCGGCGGGTGGGTGGGGACCCCGAGACCAGCCCCGCTCCCCGCGCCCCCAGCCCAGCCCGCAGCTGGACTCGGGAGCGCAGCGCAGCCGGGCGCGGGGGCGCTCCCTCCGGGGAGGGCGGCGCGCAGGGCAGGGCGGGCGGGGCTGGGGTCGCACTCACTGGGGCGAGCAGCCAGCCGCAGCAGGTCAGCAGCGCGGGCGGCAGCAGCGCGGGCGCCCTCATCCCGGCTCCGCGGCACGGACCTGGGCCGGGCAGCCCGTGCGCAGCGACGCGGCTCCCGCCTCCCGAGGTCCTTGCGCGGCGCCCAGCGGCTGCCGACAAGTCCCCTGCCCGGGTTGTGCCCCGAGGCTGCCGCTCCGCCCCCGCGGTACCCCGTCCCCGCCCCGCGCTCCCCGCGCCACACGCCCCCGAGCTCCCTTCCGTCCCGGCGCCGGGTATCCGCCCCACGTCCCGCCCCGCTCCCTTACCGCCCCCCCGTCGGTATCCCCCTCCCCGTGCCCCTGGCCCCTCCCTCGTAACCCCCGTGCTGGGCTCGTAACCTCCGTGCTGGGCTCGCTCCCCCCGACAGTTCAGTAGCGGGTGAGGGTTGCGCACAGGGGGGCGTGCTGGGCCAGCACAACTCGGAGGAAGAGGTGGACGGGAGAGCGACTCGGGAGGGACCCACTTTGGGGTCAGAGACCGGCCCTTACTTGTGTCCTTGTTAAACAACCTAAAGACCCCCAAGAAGGTGGCAGGAAGAGCATGTGGGCTGCCTTGGAAGCCACTGGAGTTGGTTGGGGCAACCGAAAACTTAGAAAAAGACGCGTGGAGTGCATCTTGGTGGGGGCAGACTTGGCGCGGTGGCTGGTCTTCAGTCCTGCCCGTGTCTCCCCCTGCTGCAGAGGTGGGCCATGGGTGGCGCTGGCTGCAGGGGCCTTGGACCCGGCCTCATCCCACACCTGCCTTGGAACTTCCGGAAGGATAGTGTGGCGTAAAAGCCAGTTGTTATCCAGCACAAGGAGAAGCGCTGGAAATGAAAAATAAAACAGGAAATTTTGTTGTGGTTTTAACTTTTTATTTGAAAATAATTTCAAACTAACAGAAAAGTAAGACTAGGACAAAGGACATCTTTTCACCCTTTATTTAGATTCAGCTATTAAAGTTTTACCTCACTGGCTTTGTCATTTGTATTCTCTCTGACCACACTCATCCCCCAATAGATCCATCAATAACTTTGTCTGTCATCTCTCTATCAGCCATTAATCATCTATCTATCACCTATCGTCTGTCTTTCTGTCTGGTGGGGAACAGTAGTAGAGACAGGATTTGGACTCGGGCTGAGATCTGGACTCTGGGTATGCAGCTTGGGATCTGGAAGCTTATTGACTCTGGATCCAATTTGACAAATATTTCTTTTACTCACTATTTGAAGCCGGACAAGCAATGAACTTTGAGCCAAGTGCCTGTGTAAATGAGAGTGGCGATACCTGCTCCTCACCTCGAGGGTCAGGTTGCAGTGAGAATCTAGATTCTTTATGTGTGTGTAAATACTGTGCTCTAGTCCAGCAGATGGGGGTGTGTGATTGCGAGAAAAAGTGTGGTAAGAACAAGATACAGGCAAATGGGTGGGGAGGAGGGGAGGGGGTAGGGAGGAGGGGGGGGGGAGGGGGAGGAGGAGGAGGGGGGGGGGGGGAGGAGGAAGGGGAGGGGAGGGGGAGGAGGAAGGGGAGGGGAGGGGGAGGAGAAGTCCATTTTTCCTGGGAGGAGCTTGGTGGAGTGAATGTCTAAATGGGACTGAAAAATGGTTAAGAGTGAGAGATCAGAATGGAGGGAGAAGGCATCTCAATCAGATGGAGCACCTGGACAGAAGCCCAAGGGACAAGGATTGTGCTGGGAGCATCAGAGTAAGAAAGATGGTCAACTCCGGCGGCCTGGGGCCCTGAAAGACAATCTTCACTCAGTGGAGAGCAAAATCTGGATTATATGAGAGTAGAAATTTTTAAACACTGTGAATGCACAGCACAAGGTTCTTTATAGTCTGACTGTTCTTTCCTTGTTCGGAATGGATGTTAGGATGGATGGTACTTATATTTGTCAACTAAAGGTTACTCTGTTTCTTTTGGGTAAATGGCCATTCTTCCAAGAATTTTTCCACTTCCCCTTGCAGGGAGTGTGGTCTGTGTGTACTCAGGGCTTCTGGGAGAAGGGCTCCTCTGTGGGCGCCTGATGTGGTGGGACTGGTGGTCTTGTCTCTGGACCTCTGTCACTGGCCCCCTAAGGTGTGGCAGCCCCCTGGCTGTGCTGTGCTGATGCCTGCGGAAGCGTGGGTCCCTGCCGCCTCTCTGGTCACAAGGACCCCACTTCTGTCTCCTGCTCCTGCGGCCTCTTCTGACCTGGACCACGCGGCCCTGGACACCAGCACCTGCCTGCCTGTGTTCTGAGGCCCCAGGTGGGGCGGACCCTGTGAGGCACTTGTCAGTTGCCCTCCTCACCCTCCTGCCTGGACACCCTCGCCCCTCTCCGCTCCCACACCTGCGGCTTCCCCGGGTTTCCAGGCTGAGCTTTGAGGGGAGAGAACCAAATCTCTGATGGTGGAAGCTGACCCCACATGTCAGAAGCCTGGAAACCTATGGATTCAGTGAGAGAAGCCTTGGGCCTTCGTGATCAGGAGAGAGTGAAATCGCTTCAGAAATAAATGCCATGCTGGGACTTTATACTTTGTCCAAAAGAGGACGGAAGCCTCACATGACTCTCTGAGGTTCGCCTGGTTCCTCTGCTCTGTCTGGATGAGTAATTCTGGGACCACATCAGCTTGGAGGGAGGGGACATGCCCACAACCCCCAGGTACATCTTTAACTTGTACCTATGAAGAAACGCAGCATTTGCCTGTGTCCCTCTTTCCGTGTCTTTTGAAAGCTGGGAGACCAGACTTCAATGAAAAATTTACTTCTTCCTCCCCCTAAAAGAGACAGGGGAGTTGGAGCTTTAAGTCCTTTGCCCACTCACAGCTGTGACTGGGGGGATGTGCAGGCGGTCGGGGGAGCACTCTTCTGAGCTTGGACTCTGGCCTTGTGCCTCGTGGGTTCCTGGAAGAAAACTTAGAGCATGTCTTCTTTGGCTGTGTCCTGGTTCCTATAGGCACAGGGCATCCTGGCCCCTCGGTGGCCCCAGCACTCGCGCTACACTGTGGCACCGAGCTGGTGTCCCACGTGTGCTTGTCACATAAGACTGAATTAGATGCCCAGGCCACGGAGCAGAATTCCTAATACGTGCTTGGCCTACTTCTCAAGATGATTATGAAGATAAAATCAAATACCAGCCATGGAAAGCCTTCACAAACAGTTTTTAAAGTATACAGATGTGAAGTGCTGCCTTGGGGATGGGCCCCTCTTGGCCCACTGCTGCTCTGTGCCCGCCTCGGCACTCACAGGCCGAGCCCGGGCTCTGGCCTCAGGACAGGTCAGCAACCCGCTTGACCTGCTCATCTGCCCTGTGTGGTTTCCAGCCCCTTCTGTTTTCAACTCTAACCGACCTGTCCAGTGAGACGGATTCATTAGGGCAAAGCTCCCTTACAGCTGCATCCCTGCAAGATCCCAGTGGTCCTGGGCCCTTTTCTAGTGATAGTCTTTCTTCCAGACATGAAAAAGCCCAGGGATGGCAAAGCTCTTGACTTCCTTAAAGGTGAAAAGTCTCTCCCCACAACCCAGTCCTGCAGCAGGCCCTGAAACTGTGGTTAGGAGCTGTGGACAGCGGTGTGAGCGTGAGGTGGGGCATCTCTCCTCTGCCCCCTCCACTGCCGCAGGCTGGGCGTCCTCCAGGGTCAGAGGGAGGGTGGGAGGCGTCAGAACGCCCTACTTACTGGTACAGCTGGGGTTGCTTTTGTGAGTTCCTCAGGCCTCTCCTGACCCAGCGTCCTGCAGCCCCTCAATGCAGAGGGAGGACGCCTCTTAGGATGCCTGCTGCCCCCAGAAGTTTCCCTTCCGTCGGGATCAGCCTCCCTCCCCAGACAGTCCTCTCAGGAGAAGACTTTCAGATGGTCCCCGGTGCCGGCATCTGGCTAATGAGAAGAAAAGCGTATCCTTTGCTTTGCCAAACGAGAAGCGGGCTGCGGCAGCTAGGCAGCCCGCCAGCTGTGGCCTCTCCTTATGACCCCCAGGCCAGAGTCAGAGCCACCCCTTCCGCCCGCAGAGGACTCAGGCCGAGCTCCCCAAATGGATCTCGAGGCCCCTCCACTTGGTTTGAGGGCGGGAAAGTGCCCCCAGCACCTTTATGGAGAAGGGAGGTGCTGAGCCCAGTGGACACTTGCTGCCGAGAATCCCCCCCGCCAGGGCCTTCTCTAACCAGCCTGGAGGTGGGTCCCGAACTGGAGCTCACAGACCCTCGGGCTCACGCCCCTGGCAATACGCTGTTGATGGTCTAGCCCCTCAGCTTGGATGTGGGGGACTTGATCATAACTGTGTTGGCCTTTGGGCTTGAACACTGACATAACTGGCTGAGCTGTCCCGAGGTCTGTTACATTAACTCTCAGGCCTGCGGCCCGCAGGCCTTCAGAGGCATCTGGAGAGAGACCTGTCCTCAGGGGTTCCCAAGAGGAAAGGAAGCAAGGTGGTGTATGACACGCATCTGGCAAGTTGTGGTTTTGTAAATAGACTTTATTTTTTAGAGCATTACATGTTCACAGTAAAACTGAGTGGAAAGTACCGAGTTCCCATATCCCTCACCCTTCCACACACATTTTCCCTTTATTAACATCGTGCTCTACCATGGCACGTTGTTAAAACTGATGAGCCAATGTTATGATTAACTAAAGTCTGTGGTTACCGTCGCCATAGGTTTGCCTTTTCCACAATGGCATGAAGCTGGACTCAGCGTGTTGCCTTTTCACATTGGCTACTTACACTTAATAAAATACATTTAAGTTTTCTCCATGTCTTTTGGAGGCTTCACAGCTCATTTATTTTTTAGCACTGAATAATATTCTAGTATCTGGATGGACCACAGTCTATTTATCCACTCCCCTACTGAAGGACGTCTGGGTTTCTTCCAATTGTGAATAAAGCTGCTAAGATAAACAACAAAGTCCTATAGTATAGCATAGGGAACTATAGTCAATATCTTGTAATAAACTATCAATATAATGGAAAAGAATATGAAAAAGAATATATATATGTATGTATAACTGAATCACTGTGCTGTACACCAGAAACAAACACAACATTGTAGATTATACTGCAAAAAAAAAAAAAAAAAAGATAAAGCTGCTAAAAACATTTGTGACCATGTTTTTACGTGGACAAAAGTTTTCAATTCATTTGGGTGGGTAAAACCTAGGGGGTGTAACCACGGGATCGTATGG